GTACCAAGTTAATAGTACATATACGAATCTAGAATTACATACAAACTTAGAAAAATATTGTAGCATTACAAAATGAAATTAATCCAAATTGAGCTGTTCTTCGTCGTCATTTTAAATACCCGAATTTGGAGTTTTGGAAACGGGCTGATCTACAATTCCTTTTTGTCTTAAAGTATTAAGTAATGAGTTCAAAGATTCTTTAAGTGAGCTCGTCATCTCGCGATTTTTGCAATTCTCCTTCTAAGAGCTCGACTTTAGTCTCCAACTCTTCATTTCCAACAGAAGAAAATCTTGATGTTGCAACTTTCTTAGTGGTTGAGCTTTGAATCTCAGTGGTTGAGCTTTGAATCTCAAGTACTTTTGTCTTACCCAACACTCTTTCACAAGCTATTGAGTCGGCCGTACTTTGATCTTTTCCATCATTAATACACTCTTCGTATACTCTTTCCAAGTCTTCCTGAAAATACAAATAAATGACCATAAAATTCATAAAGTAAACAAAAAATTGGGCAGCATAACAGCTATTGTATGGACATACCAAAAAAATATCAATACATAGAAAACAAATTCAACATATATACCAAACAATAGATCAAACACAATTCAACATATATACCAAACAATAGATCAAACACACAATACCAAAGCAAAAAACCCACCAACTAATTCAACATACAAAACAATTAAGGATGAAAACTTACCGCAATAGCACGCTGTTCAGGAGTTCCAATCCCAGTATATGGTTCTGCCCTCTCACCCTCCTCCGTGGATGACCCGGATTCCACGAATGACATCAATGGGTCGATACGCATATAGCCTTTTTTATATTTATCAACCACGGTAGGAGCTTTACCAAATTTTTGAAGCTGTAATAAAAATTTATAAAAAAAATTAATATAAAATATATATGAATATAATACAAAAAATTTAACAAAAAAATATATAAGACTAGACTTACATGTTCATGAAACCACCCACTAATACTAGTTCGACCCCAATGGTGATCGGTAGGGATTTTCAATCGGGATTCTCGGCATTTATCAGACTTGGACTGTGAATATACACATGTTAATAAACTTCGATTAAATTTATGTGAACATGACAAATTAGAAAAACAATCAAAAGAAATATAATTTACCTTGCCATCACCACTGGAATCCGATATAGAAAAAAATTGATCACACAATTCCTCCCATGTAGATGAACTAATCATTCTCTCTGAACGATTTGCCTTAGCAGTGGCAAGATCTGGTGCTCTATCATAAATTTTTTTCAATACTTTAGTTATGTGATCTTTCCAACGAGCATTGGCCATAGCATTGAACCATTTCTTCGTAGAATCTCGATCAGGAAGTTTCCATTTGTCCTTACAAAAAAAAAAAAAAAAATCATATACAACAAATCAATTTAACTAACGAAGAATTATTATTAAATTTTTAATAATTTCAAATACCTTGAATCGTAACCACAATTGCTTAACCCGACCTTCTTTTTTGTGCTTAGGCCAAGAAATGCAAGGACTAAAAAGGTCACAATGTGTAACTTGACTAGCAATGGCCCGCACCAATCGGTTCCTCCCACGCCCAACTGGAAGACCTGCATCGTTAAAGTCCACGTGTACTACTACATCATAATCTGTGCTCGAACCTTGCCCTGACATAGAAAATACACAAATCGGGTTGTCTGAACAAGAAAACAAGATACATTAACATCAATTTTAAGTTAAGACAACGCATATAACATAATATGACGAGTCAAATACATTAATAGTTTAAATAAAATTAATGAAAATACTAAGACGACAAATAATTCAAAAAAAAAGGTAAATTTACAAATATGAGTTCCAAAAATATTTGATCAACAAATACAATGAGTTACTCTTCCATAACATCTATAACATTTATGTCATTATTTATCGAAAGTATCTCATAACATCCATCTTCAACTTCAACAAGATCCTCAAATTTTAGAGCAAAGTTGTCCCTTGGTTTAATAACAACAGGCACCACCCATGGCCTATCACGTGGATCTTCGACGTAGAATGCTTGCAATACTTGTGATGGCAGAACAAAATGATTTGCTTTTGCATCTGGCGTGGATAAATTCACAAGTGTAAAGCCTAGGTTATCCCTCTTGTTCGTACGAATATTAGCCCAATCACACACGAACAAGACTACTTTTTTTGCACCAACATTGAATGAAAGTTCAATGATGTCTTTTATTACGCCACAATAGCCTACATCTTCTTCTCTTAGAGATTTATCCTTTGAACTCGCGAAACTGGTAGTTGTTGCTTTCACAAAAACACCACTATTTTGAGTAAAATGAGATTCTTCAGACGATTTTGTACGAAATGTAAACCCTTGAACATCAAGTCTCTTAAAAGTCTTCACTCTAAAATCAGGGAAACTAGCCAAGACTCTGAGATTTTCATCTATTCCAACCTTTCTTTGCACCTAGTTGGCCAACAAACGGTTACTTATCTTAAGTAACAAAATATGAAAATTAATCACAATCTAATGGAATACACTTACATATGATTGAAACCAACGACGGAATTCTTTGTCCTGTAACTGTTGAATTCGCCATTGGTAAGCAGGGTCACTCGTTGAGATTTTATTCTTAACGGTCTCTAAATGTTCCCTACGAAAAGGGTATATTATTTTAAAACATGAAATGAAAACTATTGAAAATTAAAATACCATATAGATAACTTACTCAATGTAAGGTTGAACTTCGTCACAGTTGAAAAGGCAATAGTTGTGTGCCTTCTCCATTAAATCATAATTGAGGACTTTGTACTTAGGATGTACATCACTATCATTTGATACTCCCGAGAATATTGAAAATGCACTTTGTGGTTCATCATCACAAAGTGTAGCTGAGGAGTTTTCTGTGTATAGTGAGCAAAAGTTTAAGCATTCCTCAGTGACGTAACATTCAACAATAGAGCCTTCAGGACACTTTTTATTCCGGACAAAACTCTTTAAGTGGCCCAAATATCTAATGTCAAAGGAAATTTTATAAAGATTAGATTTTATTATTATAAGTTAATGGAAATTAAATATGACATTAGCTCTTGAAAACGTTATAAATACCTCTCTATTGGATACATCCACGATAATGCACTGGTCTGGCAACCATTGCTTCATGAGCTATGTGAACCGGCAAATACATCATCACAACAAAGAATGATGAGGGGGCCAATTTCTCAAGATTGCATAGTACTTTTACAATATCAGACTGTAGTTTTTGAAAATCTTCAACTGTGTTGGTTTTGGAACATAAGCCTCGAAAAAAACTACACAATTGAATAATAGGACAGGCCATCTTGTTTGGTAACCCCACATTGCGAATTGCCAATGGAAGCAATTGTTGCACCAATACATGATAGTCGCGTTCTTCAGTCCCCCTACTTTGTCTTCATTCACACAACGGGCTATTTTGGATGCATAGCCGTTAGGAACCTTAATGTTTGATATAACATCACAAAGCGATTTCTTAGACTGGACAGACATCTTGTGATACTTCCCAAGTTTTGGGACTAGAGTGGGAAACCGTGGACCAATCTTACCAGATGGTGGTTTTTTTTTATTTTTTCAATGTCCTCCTTTGCATTTTCAAAACCATCATTTTTGCTAAGAAGATTTAATAGCCACTTTAGTAATAATTCCCCAATATTCTTCTCAATATGCATGACATCCAGGTTATGACTTATCAAATTATCTTTCCAATAAGGCAATTCAAAGAAAATACTTCTCTTTCTCCATTGAGAATCTCTATGAACTGCTTGGCCTACGCCAAATACAACATCGATTCCCTCTGTTTTTTATAAGACATCTTCCCCGGATGGTGGAGGTGGTGCCCCTTCCTCGGGAAAGCGGCTATGTCCCATAAAATATTGTTTGTTTGACTTGTACAAACGCTCAGATACGGTATCTTCAGCACAGCTAGTACAAGCAAGATAACCGCTCGTGCTCCACCCCGATAAATTACCAAGTGCCGGGAAGTCATTAATAGTCCACAAGAGGGTCGCTCGCATATTAAAGTACTGTTTGGTGGACATATCAAAAGTTTGAATTTCAGAAATCCACAACTCCTTCAGCTCATCTATCAATGGTTGCAAATAAACATCAATGCCATTTTTAGGTTCCTTGGGACTAGAAATAAGCAATGACATCATCATATGAGAACGTTGCATGCACACATTTGGTGGCAAATTGTAAATCATTAGAATGACAGGCAAACCATCTGTAGCCAAACCTAGCCTTACGTTTCGGGATTCCAAAGAAAATGCCTCATGTTTCTTATCGAACTCTTTCCACGCATCGGAATCAGCAGGATGCCTGAAAACTCCATCGTCACATCTAGTCTCCGCATGCCATCTCATGTTAATGGATGTTCTCTCATATATAAATAAACGCTTAAGCCTCGGAATCAAGGGGAAGTGTCGCAAAACCTTTTTGGGTACTCTTTTGCGGCGAGTGGTTGAAGAGCTCGGCTGGTTCTCTATGGAAGTATTCCATCGTGAAGCATTGCAGACTCTACATGAATCTAAGTCTGTATCATCCTTCCAGAACAACATGCAATCATTCTCACATGCATCAATTTTCACATAACCACACCCCAATTTCCCAATCAACTTCTTAACTTCATAAAAAGAGTCGAGAATATTTAGACCATGATTTTTTTTAATTAGTTGGAGTGTGTCTGAAAACGTCTTATCGTTCATCTTGCCTCGTGATTTAATTTCGTAGAATTCCATCACGAATGAAAGTTTAGAATTTTCTTGGCATCCATCATATAGAGGGATACACCACTCTTCAATGATTTACGAAAATCATCAACTTCTGGTGTGGATTCTTCAAATGATTCGTGTTGATCAGGATGAATACATGCTTGCAACAATTCTTCCATGTTCTCACGACCGCTTGCACCACCATTAGTTTTATTCACCTCTTCAACTTCAGAAATTGTGAAATCAGCAGCTTCATTTGTTTCACAAACCTGATGCCCAAGACGATATTCTTCCTCAGACTCTAGGTGCATTACCCATTGGCCTAAACCATAAGATTTATCCCAACCCCTCCAAAGTAAATGTCCATGGACAAATTCCCGATCCTCAATTTTTCTACACTCACAATCTCGACATGGACATCGTATTTTATTATCAATCGCAACCTTATTAAAAGCAAAATCCAAAAATTCTTCACAACCGTTTTGAAATGCATCTAATCGATGATCATCTATCAAAACCCAACCCCTATCCTTTGCCATTTTGTAGTAAGTAAATAGTCTTACAGATGCTGGTAAAAAATAGCATGACAAATATTTCAGTTATTCAAAATATTGTTTTTATCATGTAGAATGCATTAATTAATATAGAAAAAAAATAATCGAAATGAGAAGAAATTTTCCGAATTCCCAATACTGCCCTTTACCACTTTTCCGAAATGAGAAGAAATTTTACGGAACCACGCACACAAATTACAAAAATTATCTCTCCATCTTTAAATATTTCTTTTATTAACATAATAATCATATAATCAGTTTTACATAATTATTAATTTATTTATAAATCAATTGCTAAAAAGATTTTTTCAATATTTAATAAGTATTTTTAATAAATGGAAATGTAGATTGTCTTCTACTCTTTAGAACACATAAAAATCGGAAGGAAGGGAGAAGTTGCATCATATAAGTTTGTGTTAACATGCGACAACAAAGTTAAATGAATACAGAAAAACTTTATCGTGGTAAAGGTGAGGGAAAGGATAATTTCTTACTGGAGAAAGTCTAAATGTATAAAACTTGTGCTTCCCTTTCCAGCTGTACTTGATTAGTTGTGTTCCTTTCTTCAAAGCAATGAGTGCCTTCAGTCAACAAGTCAACAAAATACCGTGAGGCG